TCCGCCTGCGTCTGCAGCTGCTGCTGCGTGTTCTGCCCCGGCTCCTTGTCCTTGACCTACCTCGAGGGTGGGTTCGGCTCCTGCTTCGACTCCCAGACCTGCTCCTGCTCGAGCTGTAGTCATCCTCAGAAGAGGAGTACTTGCGCCGCTTCGATCTGTGATTTGAGCTGTTGTAGTCCGAGTCATCCTCCGAGTCGTGGGACCGCTTCGAGTGGCACCTCGAGTGGTCACTGTAATCGCTGTAGCTGTCGTCGGAGTAGCTTCTCCGACGGCTGTACCGGCTGTGGTCCGAGGAGGCGTCGGAGCTGGTCGAGTAGGACCTGGGAGAGGAGAGCTCCCGCCCCTCCTCGGAGCAGGCAGCAGCTGCAGCTCAGCCTTGTGTTTTTTGCTGCCATGCTCTTGGCAGGAGTTACCACCATCCTCTTTTTTACCGCTGCTTCCCTCTTCAGCAGACAGAGACTTCCTCTGGGACTCCTGAGAGCACCGCTTCTTCTTCGGGAAATGGCTACAGTCTTCAGGCAGTTCGGTTTTCAGCGCCCGTTCCGATTCAGTAAAAAGAGAGGATTTGCCTTTTTTGTGCCTGCGCCTTCTCCGTTTCCTGGGTTTCTCTTCCCCCGGGTCAGCTTTTCGGCCCTTCTCGTCAGCTTCCTCCTTGTGTTTACGTTTGTGTTTGCTGGACTTTTTGTGCTTCTTTTTCTTTTTGTGTTTATGGGATCTGCCAGATCTATTCTTACTGGTTATGCTTCTGCCACTGTCCTCTCCCTCTCCCTTACTAACACTTGCCAAACTGGACTCCTGCTTGTTCTGGGAGCCACAGGTGGACAGAGATTTGTTATCCATTTTTAGAGCAGAGCTGTTGGCTAGGCCTTCTGCCTCCCTGGGTTTGCTTATCTCCCCAGATTCTGTGCTCTGAACGTTTTCTTTGCAAACACCCCCCGGATCCTTGGATTTCTCTGCCCCTTTACCTTTAGCATCTTTGTTGCGAGAGAGCTTGAAATCAAAATACAGGGGGTTACAACTGTATGAAACAGACGGTTCTGCTTTGGTAAATATGAGCAGCTCTGAAGGCCACTGGAGAGTCGTGCTCTCATCTTTACTCAGAACGGGAAAAAAAGGTCCTGTCGGATGCTTTGGTCCTTCAGTGACATCTTTACAGCCCGAGCCAGGCTGAGCCACTTCTTTAGTAGTGTCTGGCTCGGGGAGATTGCTCCCTGCAAGACGCTTGCTCTCCTGCATGCTCGCACTTTCTGGGACTTCTTTCAGTTCTGTTTTGCTCTGCTGAGCTGCAGTGTCAGTAGTACTCTGCTCCTTCTGCTGCCCCGCGCCCTCGGCAGCCTTCTCCGTGTGCTTGCCGGGTTTGGGTTTTGGAGAACTACCCTTTTTAACTTCATGTGTAGTTTTTTTGTTCACATTTTCAGCTTCCATTTGTTCAGTAGACTTCATGAAAAGCAGGAATTGAAAATTAGGCTTTACTTTACAATGGGCTGGGGGAATATAGTGATAGTATTCCGGTTCAACTGCCATTGGTCCTTCTTCTCGTCTCATCTTTTTTAGTTTAGATAAGGTAGTGGCTAGAGACCCGCTATCTTTGTCATGTTGGTCATCTTCCTCCGCCTTGCCATCAGAATTATTTGTGCTTTCGCCCTCGCCAGATTTCTGCAAGCTCCCTGCATCTGAAGACCCTCTCTCATCACCTTTTGCTCCATCAGTAGAACCTGATTCTTCTACTTGGTCCTTGAAAACAGAAGCTATGGTCTCAAGTTTTACCGGAGTCTTCTTGGCAAACGAAAACGACACGCCTATCTTCTGCAGGGGAGTTCCCAAAGCACTCTTGATGCCAAAGCTGATGGCTTGCGCTGTCTGGATGGGCATTTGGCTCGGCATAACAGTGCCACCGACCTGCCCAGTGTTCAGGAAACCTCTGTCCATAGTCATCTCTGTGGCTTGGCCAGAGGTCACCTGCATGAAAGAGCTGCTGTTGGCTGCAGAATCGTCATCATCTCCACCTTCCTCATCCACGGCCACCGTGGTGGTTCTGAACATGGGTCCACTTCCAGGAGCACTGTATGAGCAAGTTAAAACAGAGAAAACAGTTGACTGCCAGTTGTATACCTCTGGTTTCACGCCTGATCTAAAACAATCTCGTACCCATTTCAAGTACTCTTATATTCAGAAATACGCATTAAAATAGTGTTAAGTAGCCATTTAGTATTATTAAAAAATTCATATAACAGAATAAAAGTAGCATTGGTAGACAAAGCAATTTTCGGATGCTCTGGACTACCAGTTTAGTGAATTAATTCCTACCAAAACCACAGCAAGAGGCCCAACTTCAGCGTGAAGCTTTGCCCTCAAAACTCGAGCAGGATTACAAGAGCAAGAAGGCCAGCGCAGCGAAGGGCCGCAGTCCCGCGCAGGACTCTCGCACACACGCTCCACGAGCGCTCAGGGATCACCTGCACTCACCATTCAGGCTGCCTTCTCTGTTCAGCCAGTTCGTGTAGACGCCGGAGGGCCTTCTCCTGCTTCCTTTCATCTTTACGTGATCTTGAGGAGACATTGCGAGCAAATTCCCTTTGCTTGAGATCTTTCAACCTCTGAGGCAAAAGAAAGGAGGAACAGATTAGATAAAAGCGGTTTGTGGTGAAGTGTCCAAAAGCATCTCTTTGCTGTAGCACTGGAAAGTACGCTTTCAAGGCCCTCCCCAGGAACGTTTATTGAGCTAGGATGGAGCAACAGCATCTTAGCTCAACAAACCAATGGAGCACATTGCCGTCCTCCCAGGAGCTAAACGAAGAGACAACTGCTGATCACTTTTGGCTACGACTCCAAGTCTGCGTATATACATTTCCAATCAACACTACTGTTTTCTTTAGCATGTACAATAAAGCTGATTTCAAAGCAACAAGCAAATTCTGGAAGGAAAAGGAAAAAAAAGACTGTTTAATTTGCTGCTTTTGCAGGGTGCAAATGTACATGACAAACAGTGCATGACAGAAGTCTTAATAGCATGGGCCAAAGAACAGAAAGGGATTAGCTGGTGCAAGAGAGTTACCCAGGTATTATGTCTTACAAAAGCAATGTACAAATTACATTGGAGAAGGTGCCAAAAATCCCATGCAGATGATTCCGGTAAGCAAATAAATAATGCAACATACACCACAAACAGTTACTTGCTTTCCTGACAGTAGTTCTGTGACGGCCTCTCAGGGAACAAAATGCCCTAAAATGCAGTGGGGTCTTTGGGGGTTTAATATTCTAGCAGGCAGAAACACTAAGTTCCCCAGAAATCTTATCATAGGAGGAAGTAAACCCAAACCCAAGGAATTTCAAATATCATAATGCCACTGAGGAAATCTAGGTATCCAATTCTAATAGCAAACATCCAAGACTTCAGAAAATTTCTGGAAGTCCTTGTCTCAAAGCACTAGGATAAGAGGCTGCTGTTTCTCCTTTGAATACATGTGAAAATTTACAAGGCACTTTGTTACGGTGTTATACAGAAGTTTCAGTTACAGAAAGCAGAGAGAAAGACCTCTACCATCTTAAGGGATTCATTTTTCTTTTTTTGGTGCATGATTTGAAACCCTTTCAAAAGGCCCGATTCCAGAAAGCATCACATGCCCAGCTTTTGACAAAGTTTCATGTTGTCTGGGTATTTCATGCAGGGCCTGAAAGACTAGCAGTACTCAAAGCAGACAGTCACTTTGAAAAAAATCCTTCTACAAGACGTACAAATCCTTGGTGAATTCTAAATACACCTTCCGGCTGGCTCTGCCTCTTTAACGGAGCCAAGTCGGACCGGTACACACAGAAACAGTGGATGTGGAAACTAACCCCAAGTTCACATGAGAGGAACTGAAGCTGGCCCAATGTAAAGAGAACATTGCTTTGTGAAAAAGGGGAAGATTCGACAAGACAGAGGATTCTCTTACCTAATCATATTTACTAAATGTGGTTGAGTGTTATCAAAATCAGAGGGGAGGACACACAAAGAAGATACAGCTATAGACACCAGTAGAAAGAAACTCACTCTCGTGATCTGGACTCCAAAATTAGAAGGGTTTGCTTTCAATACATCAGCTGAAAACGTCACATCACAGAAAAAAAAGTAAAAATATAACAAGAGTGGAAGAGAGAGAAAAAAACACAAACAAGCATTACTAGACAGGCTCTCGGTGTGTCTGCGAGCTATTCTACGGAGAAGGAGCGGAGCCAGCGAAGCTACGGGACCGAGCTCAGGGAGTCCGGAGCAGCAGGGGGACGCACGTACACACACACGCACGGACACAGCAATGATCCCACCTGGAACCACAGAGCTACTTTCACCAGGACAAGTAAAGGGCTCAAGGGTTTTGTGGTGTATGTTAAACGTTGAATAGTAAATTTTTTTTTTCCAAGAGGGAGGGAAAAAAAAAAACCTGGACTAGGCAATGCTATCAGCTTTTTCATGCTGATTTAAAAAGCATATCTAAAATGCTCCAGGAAGCGAAAGTCGCCAACAGCTGACCAAACTATTCAACTGGGGCTTGATGCCAAGTCTCTAGATCACTCATCCATTTGGAAAAAAGTATGACCCAGCTATTTACAACAGACATGAACTGTGACCTTTTATTTTAAAGAGGAAGGTACAACGGTGCACTCGGAGACCCACCTCCACCCCCCAGCCTTAAAGCATCTCCCGTGAAATAGAACGGGCTCCAAGCCTGTTGATAATGATGCAGCTGCCCATGATGCAATCCTGCCTTCACTACAACGGACATTTTTTCATGAAAACAGAATTAAATGCTCATTTCCTTAAATGCTGACCTTTCTGTGTCCCTGATCCCCAAAGCCTCCTGCTCTCTTACTGTTTACCACTTCTAAATTAGAAGCATTGAAGCAATATTCAATATTGGGGGGAATATTGCCACCACGGATGAGGAAAAGGCTGAGGTACTTCATGCCTTCTTTGCCTCCATCTTTAACAGTCAGACTGGTTATTCCCAGGCTAGTCAGCCTCCAGTGCTGGAAGATAGGGAAGGAAAGCAGAACAAACCTCCCACAATCCAGGAGGAAGCAGGTAACGACCTGCTGTGCCACCCGGACGCTTACAGTCTATGGGGCCGGATGGGATCCACCCACAGTGCGGGGGGAGCTGGTGGAGGGGGCCGGAAGGAGGATCCCGGGAACCACAGGCCTGTCAGCCTGACCTCGGTGCCAGCGGAGATTACGGAGTGATTCATCCTCAGTGCGCTCACCGGGCACGTAAAGCACAACCAGGGGATCAGGCCCTGCCAGCATGGGTTCATGAAAGGCAGGTCCTGCTTGACCAA